AATTGTATGGTATTTGAATTATATCTCAATAAAGCTGTTAAAATAACTAAAGGAATTAAAATGTCACATTAGAAAATATTCACTTCCTGGAAACCATCCACTCAGCTGCCCCCAAAAATCCTTTTCCTACCTTGACCACATTTTTGGATTAAATGTAACTTTCTGATTCCAGACCATTTATGTTCTCTTTCTGTCATTCCCATCTCTGCCCACATTTTCCAGCCAGCTTACGTTCTCAACAGCTATCACCATTTTCATACTTTTATTTAGATCCTGCCTATTTGTCCTTGCCCAAACTGTCCAAAATATAAAGACTTATACAATCATGGAAGGCAAGAAATCAAGATAGCTCAGTGCTTCTCTCCTCCTACTTTCTCGCTTTATGGATTAGGAGACAAAGGGAAAGAAAGTTACATGACTTGTCCGCAATTACCAAAATACTTCTTGCTCACCTCTTCCGAATCTCTGATACCCTTCTTTATTGCACTACCAAAGAAATCAAATGCACTCATCTCAAGATGTTACATTTAAACCCCCATCCTGCATCTTAGAGAAAAAAGGCAGCCCTTTTGTGTTCATGATCATTGCATCTGATTTCTCTCCTGATACAGCTTTTCTTTCCTTAATTGTCATGAATGACAGTTCAAAATTCCTAGGGGGCTCACTTAGTACCATCCCTGAGCAAACAGAGTCAGACTCACCAGTTTCCATTTCCTCAACTCACCTCACAGAAAACCATGCCTGGGGGCTTCAGAAAAAGGCTCTTTAGTCAAAACAATAGCATCTCTATATTTTTAAATGCTACTGAGGAAAGAAAAAATCAATAAAGGGTATTTACATTTCTTTATCGGTATATACCTATATGTATGCCAAGACCAAAAGAATGAGTTGCTTTTTTTAAATTAAATGAATATTCATCATGATGGGAAACAGAAAAGCTTCTGGGGAGTGCCTGCCTCCCTAGTAATATATTTCCTGGAGAGCCAGGAAAATCATAAATCATGTAGGTATCAGCAGTCGTTAATGAACTTTACATGAAGAGAAAATTTGTCAAATCCAAACTAGCCCTACATCTGAAGGGAGCCTAGTAAGTAATAACGTAAATCCATTAAAGAATAAGAATCATCAAGTCAAAGATCATGCAGGTCTACTTGGCTTGGGAAAGCAAAATAAACTGCTTGTTAAGAGGAAAAGATGAGGCCAGGCATGGTGGCTCATGCCTGTAATCCCAGCACTTTGGGAGGTCCAGGAGGGCAGATCACTTAAGGTCAGGGATTCGAGACCAGCCTTGCCAACATGGCGATACACCAACTCTATTAAAAATACAAAAATGAGCTGGGCATGGTGGCGCATGACTGTAATCCCAGCTATGCAGGAGGATGAGGTAAGAGAGGCACCTGAGCCCAGGAGGCAGAGGTTGCAGTGAGCCAAGATTGCGCCACTACACTACAGCCTGGGTGACAGAGCTAGACTCCATCTCAAAGAAAAGAAAAATGGATGGGCCTTTTGCTGTATTCCAACAACTGCTGGGCCCAGGAGGCATCTGCACAGAAGACCTTCATCCTTTATGAGTGATGAAGAGAAAGGCAAATGTAATTAGGCATGCTTCCCTCCCCAGAGTGGGCAACTGATGTGCGGCTGATTGAAGAAGTGATTACACAATATTGGAGAGGCATTTAAATGTTGCTCACCAGGGACCCAGAGGGCTTTCTGAGCCAGTTCCGAGAATTACACACTGTTCCATAGTGCTTGCTAATTGACCCGGTATTTCTGACTGAAAAAATTTCCCCAAGGAGGTAAGTGAAAGCAGATAATGAGGACCTGACATCTCACAGGGCAGCTCATGAGCAAAGCTTGAGCTCTAGAGACTAGGCATTATTTAAATGCAGAAAACTACAAAGAAGACCACAGCCTGAACATAAAAAGATTCAGAATTATGCATGGAGAAGGTTTCTGATTCTCAGTTCATACCTTCCCCCACCTCTGTATGATTTTAGCCTGAAATTTAAGAATTATTTATAACTGTGAAGATAAGGAGGGTATAAGTTAAATAACCATGAGGTCCACAAAATGGGCACGTTTCTGAGAGCTTCATAATAGTTCCTATTCATGTAATTGGACATCTATTCATAGAAAAGGAAAGATATTTGCAAAGTTCAAGAAAAGTTCTGCACACATGAAAGCCCAATCGTTGCCAGGAAGGAGGGACATGAAATCCGAGTGGCAGTAGAGAATTCAAGTTCTTTCAAAGTTTACCATTTGTACTTCTGGGTGTGTTTTGATTGTTGATGATAACATTGTTTTGCCTACTTATAATTACAACAGATTTTCTTGGTTTGAGGGCTAAAAATATGCATCTATCTCCACTGTGATCTGGGAATGTGGCCTGTCTCTGATAACCATGTATGTAAAAGTGAGTTAATCCTCCCTGATACAGTAAACTGGCTCAGCTGCCTGGGATGGTCGAGTCCAGCATTCCAAAACTGAGATATTTTTGGCAGGGTGTGTGGCTCATACCTGTAATGCCAGCACTTTGGGAGGCCGCGGTGGGAGGATGGCCTAAGGCCAGGTGTTCAAGACCAGCCTGGGTAACAAGGTTTAAAAAAAAAGAAAAGAAAGAGAAGAAGGAAGGAAGGAAGGAAGGAAGGAAGGAAGGAAGGAAGGAAGGAAGGAAGGAAGGAAGGAAGGAAGGAAGGAAGGAAGGAAGGAAGGAAGGAAAAAAGAAAGGGCCGGGCATGGTGGCTCCTACGTATAATCCCAGCACTGTAGGAGGCTGAGATGGGCAGATCACTTGAGGTCAGGAGTTTAAGACAAGCCTTGCCAACATGGCAAAACCCCATCTCTACTGAAAATGCAAAAATTAGCTAGGCATGGTGGCAGGTGCCTGTAATCCCAACTACTCAGGAGGCTAAGGCAGGAGAACTGCTTGAACCTGGGAGGTGGAGGTTACAGTGAGCCGAGATCATGCCACTGTACTCCAGCCTGGACAACAGAGTGAGACTCCATCTCAAAAAATAATAATAATAATAATTAGCTGGACGTGCTGGTGTACACCTATAATCCCAACTACTTGGGAGACTGACGCACAAGAATCACTTGAACCCAGGAAGCGGAGATTGCAGTGAGTCAAAATCGTGCCACTGTGCTCTAGCTTAGGCGACAATGAATGAGACTCTATCTCAAAAAAAAAAAAAAAGAAAGAAAAAACTTAAAAATGTAAATTTTTTTCAAAGTTTTGAATCCAGAAATAGGATGACTTAGGAAGAAATGATATCAAGCACCAAATAAGTAGTTAAAATGGTGACATAGTTACCAATTGCCTATAGAATACAACCTCTGGCAGAAATGGATGCTCAAACATTGATGAAAAACGGTAAATGGCATAGATGGGAACTCGTACCCTACTCTGCTCCTGGACAAACATGGAGGGGAAGCCGAAGCTACAATTGAGAATATATCTGGTACACATTCTAAATTTGCTTTTGTTTGTTTCTCTTGAAGTTAGGGCTTTTAGGATCTTGAAACAGTGCAATGAACACTAGACCCAAGTGCGTGATAAGAATGTGTTTCCCAACAGAGTCCTTGGTGCTCTAGAACACAGGAGCAATTCCAGTGACATGTTTAGTTGCTGCCTAGGGCCTTGTTTCCAGAGGGGTAGAACTGGTGTCTCTATCAGGCTGCATCCTCTCCTTTTGTCACTGAGCCACAGTCCCAGAGTGACTGAGGGGACTGGGTTATCTTTGTACAAAGGAGCCACTAAAAGGAGGACTACAGATGGGAGGAAGGAATGAGGGAGCCTGTGGCACCCTGCTATCCTGACCCAGGGTTGCTTCTCGGAGCCTTACGACAAGGGTGCTGAAACCATGGTATGTTACAGGCTGACTCTGATCCTGAGCATTTTAAAGACTGTGGAGGGATTTTTTTTTTTTTGGTCCTCACATGAGGATATTTTAAAATCCCTATTGGAGCCTGGACTAAGCTCAAAGGATAGACTGCCTCTGCAACAGGAACAGGTTGGGACCGTTCCTGTCTGAAAGGAGGCCTCTGCCATGTGTTGGGAAAGATAAGGAACAGAAACCCAGAAATGATGTGTGATCTGTTGGCCAAGTAGGAAATCTAGGTGCCATCCCTGGCCTCTACCATCCCTTCACCCAATACTGTTGATCCTCCCACTTCCACACCACCCAATCTTTTTACATTTCCATCCTGGGATTCCACAGTAGGTAGAGATGCACATGCTTTAAGGCACCAGCAGACCAGCAGCATCCAAGAAGCGGGGAATAAAAGTCTTAAAATACTTTTATATTCAATATCTGTATTTCTCAATGCATCTAGGTAATCATTCTAAGAAAAACACAAATTTGGGTTTTGTTAGTTTTATATGATTGGTTTTCCTTGAATTTTGAGTTGCATGTGTGGCTTGATGAAGGGCGATAGCCTCTAAGGGTCTTAATCCCATCCTAAGTGGATAAAAGAACCTTCTAGCATGCTTTCCTACTTTCCATCTAATCCAGCTCAATTTTATTCTCCAGGAAACCACTTTGTGTGATTATTCCAAAATGCAGACTTTACCATAGTACTGCCCTGCTTATAGGAGAGAATTAGAGTTCCACTGCATGGTCTAGAAAGCATTCAAGATCTAGTTCTTGGCTTTATTTCTAGTCTCATTTCTCATCTCCTCTGTTCCCACCTGCTCCCCTCCATATACCCTATATTTGAGATATTTCCAAATACTTGAGATCTCACAAACATCCTGTTGGGGCTTAGCAGCCAATATTCCAAAATACAGTACACTGACATGCTGAACCAAAGAAACTGCAAGCTCTCACTGACATTCCCGCTGGTCCCCAAGGTCATTCCCAAAGACCTTGGTGGATGTGGATCTTAGACAGACAACTTCTTTGGGAAAGCTGAAGTTCCTATCTACCTAAGATTCAGCCCCACCAAGGAGAACAATTGTTTTTTCTTCCCCCACTGCAAGACTAAGAATGTACCTCTTTTTTCCTCCCCGGCTGTCTAAGGATAGGCCGCCATCATGAATGACACAGTAACTATCCGCACTAGAAAGTTCATGACCAACCGACTGCTTCAGAGGAAACAAATAGTCATTGATATCCTTCACCCCGGGAAGGCAACAGTGCCTAAGACAGAAATTCGGGAAAAACTAGCCAAAATGTACAAGACCACACCGGATGTCATCTTTGTATTTGGATTCAGAATTCATTTTGGTGGTGGCAAGACAACTGGCTTTGGCATGATTTATGATTCCCTGGATTATGCAAAGAAAAATGAACCCAAACATAGACTTGCAGGACATGGCCTGTATGAGAAGAAAAAGACCTCAAGAAAGCAACGAAAGGAATGCAAGAACAGAATGAAGAGAGTCAGGGGGACTTCAAAGGCCAATGTTGGTGCTGGCAAAAAGCCGAAGGAGTACAGGTGCTGCAACGATGTTATCTATGGCTGTTGTGGATTTTTCACGAGAAGCTTATTAATAAACTAAAAACTTAAAAAAAAAAAAAAAAAAGAATGTAACCACACCTGATCAGACCACCCTTTCACTGTCAAAGAGACCTATTTACAGGTTAATCTCTGTTCCCTATTGGTTCATCGCCCCTCCGCAGAATTCCTTTGTTCCCTCACATAATCTCTTGCCGGGATCAAAGTCCCCATTCATTCATTCATTCATTCTTTTTTTTTCTTTGTCTTTTTTTTTTTTTTTTTGAGAAAGGTTCTCGCTTTATCAGTCCAGAGTACAATTGGCTCACTGCAACATTTGCCTCCTGGGTTCAAGCAATTCTCCTGCCTCAGTCTCCTGAGTACCTGGGATTATAGGTGCCCAACATCAGGCCCAGCTAATTTTTGTATTTTTTGTAGAGACAGTGTTTCATCACGTTAGCCAGGCTGACCTCGAACTCCCAACCCCAAGTGATCTACCTGCCTTGGCCTCCAAAAGTGCTGGGATTACAGGGGGTGAGCCACCGCACCCAGCTCCAAGTTCCCATTCTTTCTGTAACATGAAGGTGTGATGATAGATAAGCTTCTGTAACTCACTGCTGATGTGGGTCTTCATTCTAAAGGCTCTTTCTATACACATTAAACAAATTTGCATGCCTTTTCTCCTATTAATCTCCTTCATGTCAGTGACTTTTCAGTGAACCTGCAGAGGGTGAAGGGAACTTTCCCCTTCGCTCCGCTACAATCCCATGCAGTTTCATGCTTCCCTGTCTTTGTATATGACATTCCCCCTGCACACGTTTTCCTCAACTCGTTTCCCACTGATCCTCCAAATCGCTGTCCCTCTGTGAAGTCTCTGACTCCCTCCACTCCACAGTGCTGGTGCTCCCAGAGTATTTTGTGCTGATAATTGACTCTCTGTGGCATAAGTTTTTATGTGCACATCTCTCTTCACTGAGGGCAGGGATGATGTTTTCTGCATCTCTACCTCTAAACAGTGCCTGGCACCTCATAGATGCTCAATACATGTTTATGGAATCGATGAATAAATAAATAAAAACTGGTTTTACTTTGTTGCTGAGCGGAAAATTTATTTTAAATTCTTGTTTTACAAGAGATTTTTTCATTCCATTTCTTATCACAACATCTAATGGTTGAAATTCTACCTATTATTCAAATTCAACTTAAATTTTCCATTCCCCTCCCCTCCCCTCTGCTCTCCTCCCTTCACCTCCCCTACTCTCCTGGCCTCTTCTCTTTCTGATACCCTAAACAGAATTCAGCTCTTCCTCTGGTATTTACAACACCTTCAAATCCTGTCTGGTGATTCAGTTACCGTGTATATACTTGTCCTTCCCACCATAATGTGCATTTCTGTGGGGCAGGTCCTCGGTCTTATTCATTTTAAATTATGGGCACCCAGGAAGAGTGTGTAACCACTGGCTGAATTGACTTGAATTGTTCAGATGTTTTTGCAGATAGCATGAGGCCAGGTGCAGTGACTTACGCCTGTAATCCTAGCACTTTAGGAGGCCGAGGCGAATGGATCACTTGATGTCAAGAGTTCGAGACCAGCCTGGCTAACATAGTAAAACCCCATCTCTACTAAAAATACAAAAATTAGCTGGTCGTGGTGGGGATGATAATCCTAGCTACTCCAGAGGCTGTGGTGGGAGGATCACTTGAACCCGGGAGGCAAAGATTGCAGTGAGCTGACATCATGCCACTACACTCCAGCCTGGGCGACAGAGCGAGACTCCGTCTCAAAAAACAAAAGAAATAAAATAAAATAATAATAAATAAAGTCAGTATAGATAACCAGAAGATACAGAAATAGATGCTTCTCTCATAAACATCCTTTTTTGGCTAAAAAAAAAAAATAACCACAAACAACTATTCTGTGAAGAAAAAGAAAAGACAAAAATGTAAAAGCAACCAAAGGAAAAAGGCAAAACCCTTTCCAGTGTTTTCTCCTGAAACAAAGGCAGGTTTGCTCCGTGTGCCTCTAAACCAGAGCCTCTCTAGCTGGAACATTTCTGAACCTTGTGGGTTTGATGAGATGCCCCATTGCGTTTGTACAACACTCTTAAGCTCCCAGTGACGCATACCTCAAATGCGGGTAGACATTCCTTAGGCTATTGAGTTGGAGGCAACACGATGTTTACAAACCAGCATTTTCTCCAGCCCGAATACAATAAAAACAACCTGATTATGGTTTTCCCTTGGAAGGCTGCCGAGGTTAAAATGATCACACCAACAGTAAGAGGCTCCATTTTCCCTCTGTTTTTATTTTTAGGTTAGTAGCCTCCAGCAGAATTTGCTTTATTTTAAAGCATGAGACATAATTCCTGTTCTATTTTCAAAACCATCTTGGCACTTCTGAATTTCTCCAAATAGTTCTGAAAATGTGCACACCCATGCACTTGCCTTTGCCTGAGTTCCTGCTCCTTGCCTTCTTCATGTTTACATTTCCCCAGGGGAGCCAAAACCAACACTAACTACCAGTGAATTAAATCTCACCTCTAGGACCCTAAAAGGTCAGTGTTTACCCAGGATTCCAACCATCTCTAGTCCCTTCCCCCAAAAGATCAAAGACTTGCAGTTAAATATCCAGCCTCGAAAGAAAGTTCTGAGATCTGCTTCAATTATACAATTTATTCCTAAGTTTTATATCCCCTATTGTCAGTTCTCCATATGCAAGCCTGGAGCCTAAAAGTCTTAAGTTCTGCTTGCCTCGGCTGAAGTCTCCCACCACTGGCCTGCGTTTGCCATTGTTCCTAATCACCCAGGGGAGCTTACTCGGACAAGCCCCTCGCCTCGCCCAACCATGCCACCTTAACTGTTCGTATGATAATGTAAATACCTCTCACCCAACCCTCCCATCTTTTTTTTTGAGACCGAGTTTCGCTCTTGTTACCCAGGCTGGAGTGCAATGGCGAGATCTCGGCTCACCACAACCTCCGCCTCCTGGGTTCAGGCAATTCTCCTGCCTCAGCCTCCTGAGTAGCTGGGATTACAGGCACACGCCACCATGCCCAGCTAATTTTTTTTTTTGTATTTTTAGTAGAGACAGGGTTTCACCATGTTGACCAGGATGGTCTCAATCTCTTGACCTCGTGATCCACCCGCCTCGGCCTCCCAAAGTTCTGGGATTACAGGCTTCAGCCACCACGCCTGGCCTAACCCTGCCATCTTAACTGTTCTTAGGATAATGTAAATACCTCTCACCCAAGCCCACCACTGCAACTGAACTTACTTTGCAACACCCTCTCCCCGCAAAAAACTACCCAAACTTATAAAACCAACTCTTATCCCACTGCCCTTCGCTAATGCCCTTATCAGCCATAGCCCACGTGCACCCAGGTGAATACATAGCCAGGGTGCCTATTTGGAAGGTCTCTTCATTCAAAGGGCACATTTTTTTTAACACCTATCATAAAATGTCCTTTCATGCCATGTGGCTTTCTATACCCACTTTTCCCTAACTGGAACACACTTGCTCTTATCTTATTCAGCCTTCAAGACCCTCCTATTTTACTTTCTTGGATTTTCTTTTTTCTCCTCCAATCTTTTTTTTTTTTCTGAGACAGGGTCTCACTCTGTCACGCATGCTGGAGTACAACAGCACAATCATGGCTCACCGCAGCCTCAATCCCTGGGCTCAAGCAATCCTCCCTTAGCCTTCCAAGTAGCTGGGACTACAGGAATGCACCACCCATCCCGCCTAATTTTTTTTAAACTTAGTAGAGACAAGGTCTCAATATGTTGCACGGGCTGGTCTTGAACTCCTGGGCCTCCCAAGTACTGGGTCTACAGACATTGAGCCACCCGGCCAGGTGGTATTTTCTTTTCTCTACTTACCTAGAATTAATTGCGCCATCTCAGTATTTCCACTGAACTCTGCTCACTCTTTGAACTGACAGAATATAAGTTTGTATTCTCATCATGTTTAGCCTCTCTAAGACTGACCTTCTGCTTCATATCTACTTATCTTCGTATCTTCAATATCCCCTAGCATGTAGTGCAACCTAGGATACGGTAGGCACCAAATAAATATTAGTAGCAAAAACAAGCAAACAGCAAGCAAATCATAATTTACGAATGGTGATATCATGTAAACCACAAAGTATTAGCACCTTTTGAAGGACATTTGAAAGTAGCCATTTTTTAAATGTTTATTTTTTGTGGAAATAGAGTCTTGCTATGTTACCCAGGCTGGTCTTAACTCCTGGGCTCAAGTGATCCCCCTCATCTTGGCCTCACAAATAAGCATGAGCCACCACACCCAGCTGGAAGTAGCCATTCTTTTAGTTGGTGTTAGAGTGGTGTTGCTAGCATTTTATTTGGTGTAACAGGAAAAGTATACTGAACGCTCCTTTTTTAAGCACTTAAGATATACCAGACATTGTGCTGTGAGGGAATCTGTGAAGATCGCTCCCGCGTGAGGCCCCTGGGAAATGGGCCTCGCCATACGGTGAGCTTGAGCCTGGACACAGATCCCCTGTTGGGGGAGTCGAGCTGAGGGAAAGTAGGAACCGAGAGAGGAACTATATGTTATCCAAAATAATTAACAGACATTACTTTATGGATATGAGGACTTGGGAGGCATTGTGTCTACTTTCGGCTTCTTATGGTTTATTGTCTCATTGTGTTCATTTTGGATCCGTGTTACCTTCATTGCAATATATTAACTTAAATATTTACACTTGGTAACTTACTTACCATAACTTACAGGGCGTAACTGTAACTTATTTACCATAGCTTACAGGGCGTGACTGTAATTTACTTACCTTGACCTATTGGGCGTAACCTACTTACTGGGCGTAGCCAACTTACTGAGCTTAACTTACTTACTGGGCGTAACTTGCTTACTGTAACTTAAGTACGTTAATCTGGTGTAAACAACTTTAACTTCAGAAAAGTATATAATGAAACACATTGCAGAAATAAAATTGCTGCATGAGAATAGCGCATGTAGCCCTCAGACCTCGCCTTTTCTGTCTCCTTTTTTTCCGGTGCGCGCTCTCTTCCAGGTTTGGGACCCTCTCGCTGGACGAGATTCCCGGGCTCGCGTTCAGTTCACAACAGCTGGCGCCCAACGTGGGGCGAGTCAGTTCGCAACAGCTGGCGCCCAACGTGGGGCGAGTCAGTTCCCAACAGCTGGCGCCCAACGTGGGGCGGGTCAGTTCACAACAGCGCTGCATCCA